GGGGGGGGGGGGCATCACGCGGCCAGCGCCTTGCGACATGTTTGGCCAGTTGTGGCTGATCATTGATGAACGTTGTGTCGTGTCGTTTTGTCCAAGATGGGACCAGAAATCAAGACTCACCGAACAAGGTGAGTGTGACGTCACAGTCACATCCAATATTGTAGGGCGTCCCCCGTTCTCGCCCAACCATCGCTTCAGCCACACGGCAAGCCTCATGGGCTGTCTCCCAACCCGCAAATGAAACCAATCTCTCCTGCCTTAGCTCTGGATGCCCGGTCGGACATTGGTGATTGATTTCAGGACTATTGCGCTTGCTTCTGGTAGCATCGTTTCGTTGTACCGGCGTTGCTAATCTTCATGCAGGCCTCTGAGAGCGCTAAGCGACGCTACCTTACTAGAATGCCGGTATGCAGGCAAGAGCTGGCTCTTCGCTGTTACGTAGGGCCAAGCGCATGTCCGGCGATGGTCCTAGTTTGTGAGATTGAGGCTTGTCGGCTCGATCTGGCGGTGAGTGGATCGCGTCCACGCGTTCGATTGGGGATATGATGTTGTCCAAGACTAGCAATGTGAGCTTCCGTGCCGAGCTTGCCAGTGGAAGACAGCTTGATGGATCATTGTTGAGCCGACCACCGGGAGGCTTGGCTTTCCATTCAAGATGGGATGGAGATGCTTCGCAGAGATGGGATCGTGGCGGAGACTCGGCCGAGACAGCTTTTGGGCCAGGAAAGCCTTTCTCGGCACTTTGTGGGTCCATCGTCGGCTTCTGCTTTGTGGGGTCCCTCGGTAACCCCACAAATTACCGGCCCCGCGGATGTCTCACATGGCCCAAATCTGGGGTTTGAATCTGGGGCTCTGTGGCCATACACCTGTTCCTAGTTCACCTGAGGTTTTAGGAGCTTCAAGGCAGTCTTCAAGTTTTTGAAGCCTCTCAACCACCGTGACCGTTTGCCAAAGATCTTAGTGTCCGAGATACGCCGCCATGAAACCATCCACTTCGAATACCGGCTTTTTCCAGGAACTCCCGGTTCTGCCGAACCAATTCTTCGATGATGCCAGCTTTCAAAGGGCCTTGAGGTGTACGTAACTGACCCAGTAAACTCTTTTCGTCCCATGTTTCTGAACCTATCTAGTATTCCTACCAAAGGATATCATCGAGCGTGTCGAAGTCGACATTGCGCAACTCGGCGAGGATGTGCTATCCGACCAAGTCTTCTCCTGGATTACAGACTCGGAGAAGAACAAGCCGTACTTAAAGGGCAGCGGCCGTGACTCCTTTGGGCGGCCAACATCCGAGCTGGTCGTCGGCGAAGGCTGGCGCAGCTTGCAAGACTTTGGCATTCGAAAGGGCATCGTCGCTACAGGGTACGACGCCTCACTCGGCTCCTCCGCCCGCGTAGTGCAGTTCTTGAGGATTCACTTATGGGGGAGTTCGGCTTCGAACGTCACCTGCCCATCGGCTATGCAAGATGGCGCCGCTCGGCTCCTGCAACTTCACCTATCTAGAGACATCGAACCAACGCAACGAATGGCACTAGAGAATGCTCTTCAACATCTCCTGTCACGGGATCCAACAACTGCCTGGACTAGCGGGCAGTGGATGACGGAGCGAACCGGCGGAAGCGATGTATCCCTCACCGAAACAGTTGCCCAGCACACTCCATCCTCGGAAACGGCGCTGGCAAACGCGGCGGAGAACATCCCTCTAGGCCCGTGGTCAATCTCTGGATTCAAGTGGTTTTCCAGCGCCACCGACTCTGCCATGACCGTCCTCCTTGCGAGGACGCAAAGCGGCATCAGTGCCTTCTTCGCACCAATGAGGCGACACAACCCCACGGCAGTCACAATGACGGGGCGGCCCAAGGGCGCCGCCGGAACGGAGCTGAACGGCGTCCGGATCCAACGACTGAAGAACAAGTCTGGTACGCAGTCGCTCCCCACGGCCGAGCTCGAGCTTGATGGCATGCGAGGGTGGCTCCTGGGCCAGGAGGGCCGCGGCATCAACGAGATCAGCACCATTCTCACGCTCACGCGCATACACTCCGCCGTAGGTGCTGTAGGATACGTGGGCCGAGGATTAGCTATCGCGAGGGCGTACGCCAAAGTCAGACAAGTCGGCGCAGGAAGGGGTCAGCGGATGCTTCTGGCGGAAAGCCCACTACACATGCACACTTTGGCGGAGATGACTGGGGAGTATCACGGTCTCATGCTGCTGACGTTTTTCACGGCATACATTTTGGGACTGGACGAGAATCCTCAAGCGGACGGATCTGGCCTATCGAATGCTCTTGCTGCGATCACGCCAGACCAGAAGCACATTGCGCCCCTTTTGCGCATCCTGACACCGCTCTGCAAGGCATATGTCTGCAAGAAGTCGATCCCGCTGCTGTACAGTTGCATGGAGGCTCTCGGAGGTGTCGGGTACATGCTGAACGAGGAGACCGAGTATCTGAACATCGCCAGACTATACCGTGACTGCTGCGTGCTGTCAATCTGGGAGGGCACTACGGATGTCCTCGCAACGGACTTCTTGCGAGCGTTGAAGCATCCAAAGGGAGGACAAGAGTCCATGGACGCCCTCGATGCTTTCTTTGCCCAAAATCATACGGTAGGAGAGCCCAATGTATGGAAACCGGTAGACTCGTGGAGTGCAGTCAAATCCTCCCTGATGGACAAGTCACAAGCAGATCTCATTGTGGATGCAAGACACATCCTCTGGGCCGTGGCAGAAGCGCTCATTGGCGTGCTGCTCCACGAAGACTATGGGAAAGGCGGAAGCCAAGCAGCATTCGACGTTCTCTCCCGCCATCAAGCTCGCTGTGGTGGTCAGACATTTGGGAGACCGACTCCAGGAACTTCAGATGAGCCGCAGCTTGGCACACAAGACAGACTGGAAAGGAACTTCACCATCGTCTATGGTAGATCGGGCTCAAGCAAAGCGCCTCTCTCAAAGCTCTAGGAGGCTGCAGTTGCCCATATGCAAGAATAATAAAGTTCAACGTGTCATCGTTCAAGCCTGTTGTGAAAGGACGCAAACCATCTCAGGAGATTCCCACGTGGCGTCCCGAAAGGTCCGTGATGTGGGAGACTGGTCTATCCGCCCGATCTACACTAAGTCGATCACCAATCGATCAACGACGGAAAGGACAAAGCCGGCGAGCCGGGGGTCACATCTCCAGACGATGGGCTCGGTCGAATTGCACCTTCAGCCTCGAGAAGAGTGCCTAATACCCAGTATACCATGACTCTCGCACCCACGTTGCTATTTGAGATCGAAGAGGTCCGAGTGCCACGTCCCAAGTCTTAGCTCCCTTGGATCTTTGATCGCTTGCCGGTGGCAGCAACGTGCCAATGGCAACCTCACTAAATAGAGTTTCTGTCCGGGCACCCTCCGATTAGCGTTGCTCGATTTGGATTTCTTCGCAAGGAAGCTATTCTTTGTCCCGCCCGCAAGATCCCCCCATGCTCATTGTCTTATTCGGCTTGGGATCGCCGGAGAGGGGGTTAACCCGGAACTGCAACGAGCTCTTTTTTCTTCCTTATGTGTGAGGGGGGATGCCCTTGGATCGTTCCTCTGAATCGTCTGTCTGCCCTCTTTACTCCACCACAGCTTTCCCATCGATTGTGATTGACCATCCGCCGACCGAGATGCGGATGCTCGCCACAATCAACACGAGATCATGTTGGAGCCAAGTCCAAATGTGCACTTGGAAAAAGACGACAGCTATCTGCCCGAAGTCTGGGTAAGCTCCCCTCTTGTTTCCCCGGCCTACAATCAACACGCCTGGAGCTAATGGGTATTGCTTGGCAGGCCTGGTATGCCATCGGCGTCTTCATAATTCTTCTACGATTCGCAGTTCGTGTCCGTACCGTCGGGATTCGAGGCTTCCGCGGCGACGATTATTTGGCTTTACCTGTGAGTTACTGGAAGAGCACATCTTTCAAAAGTTGGCATTGGTATTGATGCGCTACAGTATCTCGTGTTATACAGCATCAATGTTTACGTAGTCCAAATCTGCTATTACACAGGGGCCAATATCGACATTACTTCAGATGCAGTACCGTCGCTGTCGGATCACGATGTTGCAGTTCTTCAGCTGGGATCGAAATTGGAGTTCATGTCATGGTACACGTACCCTGGTAAGTAATACCTGACGCATCGGAACTTGTTTGAATCATTCGAGATTACTAACGTTAATTAAAGGATGCATCTGTAAGAAGCTTCACCTGCACCCAAGTTGACACTCCGGCCTGACCCGTGACTCTTAGGGGTCTTGAAGTTCACCGTACTTTTCTTCTACAAGCGTCTAACACTCGGAATTCTACGAAGACGGAGTCTTGTCGCATTGTTCTGGATCTGCGGATTATCCTACGTCGTGCTGTGTCTCACCGTGACACTCAGCTGCCAACCGTACGTGGCCCCAATGCCAACCGCGATCGCTTTCCTGACACTTTTGAATAGCTATTCCGACAACTGGCGAATCCGACCTCTACCAGGCCCAGAGTGCACATTTCGACCACAAAACTTCTGGATGCTGCTATGGCTCAACGTTCTAACCGACGCCGCCCTCCTCTCCATCCCCGTCCCGATTCTCTGGCACCTCCGCGTGTCCCTTAGACGCAAGATCGGCGTCGGCATCCTGCTCTCGTCCGGCGTCTTTGTCATTTCGACTGCCATCGTTCGTGCGGTCACGACCTTGGGCGGTGCGCCGTCAGTCATCAACATCAACCGCTGGGGGTTCCGCGAGACCGCCGTCGGACTCATCACCGTCACCTTGCCGGTCCTGAGCCCGCTGTTCACAAGGGCGTTTTGGCGCCGCGGCCCGTATATTCGCGACTACTACGATCGGCTGCGCGGTCCGAGGACGCCTCCTAATAACGCCAGGTTTGGGAACTGGCTGGGGACGATGGTTCTCAAGTACATTGATGAGGAGGAAGGGGATGTATTACGCAGCCCCAGCGCGGCAAAGCAGTTGGAAGAGGCGGGGTACCGAAGGGAATGTGCCGAGCGTGCGGGTTCCTACAGTAAAGGGGATACCTATGAGTTGGAAACGCAGAGCGGCGATACGAGCACGAAAAGCTTGAAAGGCATTGAGACGGTATGAGTGACACAACCGTGGGCACATGGTGGTTGGCGCGTAATTTGGTATTGGAGCATTGAAGCATACCCCATCATGTCTGACTTTGTATATACTGATACCCAAATGGAGCAAAAGGATGGGTTGAGAACTGGAGAGTGTATGTGCAGAAAAGAATGCTGTGCTGGTTTAGCAATGTCATCTTCCGCAACAAGGTCCCAGGTTAAGGGACTGGCTTCTACATAGACTTCCAATAACTAATTGTCTTCCAATTGGATCATGGCAAGTCTTGCGTGCTTGAGGGGAGATCCAAACGATTATATCCTCTCTGCACTTTTCAATCCTGGAGAGAACTCAGATATTGGATGCTGACGACTGCAGAGCCAATATTAGACATGGTTGAGTAGAAATTTCCGCATACGTGCTCGTATGATATAATATCACCCATCTCAGAGGCACGTAGAGCCAAGCAGACTCAGTTTCAGGCGTGACGCCAGAGTGAGATCGTCTTTCTGAGATGTGCTGTGCAGATGAGTTTCAAACCATGGTTCACCAACTCATACGAGCAGAGCAGGAGTTGCAAGGAGTATGAAAAGCTCGCCGAAAACCTCGGTGGCATCTTGGCCAACCGATGATTGAAGCGGTTTATAGGATATAGTTCTCAGAGTACGTACTAACACAGTAGTATCGTTTAAACGAGGTGGTGACATCTCCAGTTGCATGCCCCGCATCCTTCAGCGCTGCCTAGGCCTGTAGCACCTGGAAACTTTCCTCCAAGGTGCTAATACCTTGACTGTCGCGTCCCGTCGCGTCACTCACAAACCCCCACCATCCTCACATCTTGTCTTCACACCCATGACGCCATGCGATTCATGCGATCGCGACCACAATGACCCGACCGGTCGAGGAAAACGCGATAGTAATATCGGATGGCGAGACAGTATCGGAAATCGACGAACCTCAGCATCCTAGCAATAAAGCCCTCGGGAAACGAAAGGTTGACGTCGATTTTGAGGAGAAGGAGGTTTGGGACGCCGATTCCGACTTGGAGCTCCCCAAGCCCAAGAAACAGAGGGGGCGGCGAGCCGCAACTGACAAGGGAAAGAAAGATAAGGCGAAGGGCAAGGGCCGTCCATCCAAGAAGAACGGAGTAGTCAAGATCGATGGTACCGAAGAGGAGGACGATCTAGATGTTGCGGAAGCGCCCGACTATTTGAAGGAGCGAAGGAAACAATTCGACCACACCCGGGAACGACTGCAGGAAGCAGGACTGTTGCTACCACCGGACTACTCAGACGTTGTATTCTCCGAAGACGATCGACCGGAAAACCTCGAGCGGCGTCCACATTTCGACGAGAGCACCAAGATCAAGCCCTGCAGGCCGTACGAAGATGTCGAGCTCGAGTATTCGGCAGGTATAATACCGGCGTCTATCGCGCAGTACTTGCGTGAGTACCAGATCGTTGGTGTCAAGTTCCTGCACCGTCTGTTCGTCTACCAGAGGGGAGGGATTCTCGGAGATGACATGGGCCTCGGCAAGACTGTCCAGGTTGCGACGTTCCTTACGGCAGCTTTTGGCAAAACCGCCGATGAGCGGGACAAGAAGCGGCTCAAGAAGATCCGTGATGTGTCCGGTCGCTGGTATCCGACCGTTCTGATCATCTGTCCAGGCTCCATCATTGAGAATTGGAAGAATGAGTTGACTCGCTGGGGATGGTGGAAGGTCGACGTTTTCCACGGCGCGGGAAAAGAGGACGTGCTGTCCGCTGCCAGAGCAGGCCGGATAGAGATCATGATAACGACCTATTCGACGTACAAGAACCACAAGAGCTTGGTCAACACCGTCAAGTGGGACGCGGTTGTCGCCGACGAATGTCACCAAATGAAGGAAAGGAGCTCCGAGGTCACCAAAGCAATGAACGACGTGAATGCGCTGTGTCGCATCGGCTTGACAGGTACAGCGATCCAAAACAAATACGAGGAACTGTGGACTCTCCTGAACTGGACCAACCCTGGCCATTTTGGCACACTATCGGAATGGAACACCACCATCACCAGACCTTTGACACGGGGTCAATCCCACGATGCGACTCTGAACCAGTTGCGGGACGCTCGAACTACCGCTAGGAAGCTCGTCACGAATCTGCTCCCGGGCTTCTTCTTGCGCAGAATGAAGACACTGATCGCTCACCAGCTGCCCAAGAAGAGCGACCGAGTCGTCTTTTGCCCTCTCACGGACCAGCAGCAGGAAGCGTACAAGAACTTCATCAGTAGGCCTGATGTCGAACTTCTGCGCACCCTGTCCGACCCATGTGAATGTGGCTCCGGCAACAAGCAAGGCTGGTGTTGTCGCAAGACTCTTGACGATGGTACGGGGTGGCAGTCCATCATCTTCCCCTGCGTGACGACCTTGCAGAAACTGTCGAATCACCTCACCCTTCTAATTCCGGCTACGGGAAACGAGCAAGACGACAAGCACAAAAGAGAAATGCGCACGCTACAGACTTGCTGCCCAGACACGTGGAAATACCTCTACCAAAATAGAGACGCGATCATGAACCTGGCTAACCCGGAATTTTGCGGCAAGTGGAAGGTCTTGAAGAAGCTCCTCAAGTTCTGGCATGACAGCGGCGACAAAGTATTGGTCTTCTCGCACAGCGTTCGCTTGCTTCGCATTCTTCAGCATCTCTTCCACAACACCAGCTACAGTGTCACATATCTGGACGGGTCGATTAGTTACGAGGACAGACAAAAGGCTGTGGATGACTTTAACTCTGACCCGACTCAGTTCGTCTTCTTGATCTCGACCAAAGCTGGTGGCGTTGGTTTGAACATCACTTCTGCGAACAAGGTAGTCATTGTCGATCCTCATTGGAATCCG